TCATTATATGTTTGTTACACAATTGTTATTTCTCAATGTCAACCATTTCATTTAAATATTCAGATAATTTGCCTCAAAAACATTATTCCTTTGTTTGCACAAATTATGCATTATTAAATAGAAGATAAGAGGTATTCAAGATTACAATGGCATGAATTAATTTCACGCCTCAATTTATGAAATTGAAAATCAAAAATACCCGATATAAGCAGTGTGCTTAATAGCAAACTTGACATATAGCCCTCATTCTGAACGGAAACTTTAAAGGCCTAAACTTTTAAAACGCTACATTAAAAAAAAAAAAAATCTGGTGTGGACACCACATAACTTCTTTCTACGGCCTATTAAATTACAGACAAATTTTGCTGCATTTCATTTAAACTTATTTCCTCGAATCTCATTAGAGATGTATTTTCCATTCAACTAATTCAGTCCTCACTTCACAGCGAGGCAGAAATACATAAAACTTTAAAACATCTTCATTAAAAATTGAAAAATGTAGAGAAACATAAAGCATCAAATACAGTTAAAACAGTTAGAAAACATTTTACAATTAGCATTAGAGTTTCTGCCCAAAAACAAGCAATTCAGCCAGCGACAAGAAGGCAGATTTTGTGGTGCACAAAACTCAAAGTTTACTTTTGGTTCCACTCCGCAAAAAGACACTGAAGGTGTAGAAACTGATTTAATCCACTATTCTGCTAAGTTTCAAATGTAAACAAATGGCTGCACCGTTAGGCCTAGTTGCATTTAAACAACTTTTAAATCTTTGGTAATTCTACGACTACTACATGCAGATTAACTAAAGGCATAAATTCCTTAACCGGAGCATAAGAACAACATAATTCATTCACTTTCAACACAAAAAAAGCACGCTCACCGTGCCGAGTAACAGTATGGTGAAGAATCATAAAATGTAGTCGTTATTTAAATTATCAGACGATAAGTTTAAAAAACAGGATCCATTTATTATTATTCAGGAGAAATAGCAGTTACAAAATCAGATATCCGGAGTAAATAAAAAGAATTACTAATAACTTTTTGTATGAAGTTTACTGCATCGTGACATTTAAGAAAAAGCCCCCGATATTCTTTTGTGAGTCTTTTTATAGCCTCTGGAAAGGCGGAGCTTCCAAGAAATGACGTCAGCCTCGTCAGCCAATCCAGTTCGCTTTAAATATTTCCAGAACATTGTATAACTGTACGTGTAGAAAAGGCGGGAAAAACAACTTGACTACGGGGTTGTGGATTTAATTCCAAGTACTTTCAAATAAGAGACCGTCGCCATTAAAAAGAACATAAAGGTAGAATTTTAAGTGTATTCTTGACTATGGAATTTTATTATTACATAAAATTTGTACATTTTATTATTATATATACATTTGATCTGGCCGATTACAAACAAAAAAGGAGGTGCACCATTACGCGTTATAGCAGTCTCACATACTAAATTTCAATGTTCTGAAGTTACTCGTTTTTGAGTTATGCAAGATATATGTATATGTAGGTATATATGCATCTTGTACAACCCAAGATCTCGTTTAAATCCATTTTAGATGCATTTATTAATTCGTTTTGGGAAAAGGAGACCTTTATTCTATCCATACGTACAGATGTCGAGCAAAAACATCGTTCAGATGGATTCAAAAGGGGTCAAAACGGATAATTTCGTTGAAACATGACCCGAAAATTTTCGCGTTTACGATACTTCCTTTACTTCGTACAAGGAAATAAAAATAATTTTTTCGACATTTCTAAAATTTTTAACAGAATTCAAAATTTAATTATTACATGCAAATTCCGCAATTTAGTTCTGAAATATCACACAATGAAAATTTACGTGTAGTAAATTGCGCTTAAAAATTTCTGCATTTTTAACGCTATAAAAACTGGCAGCATTAAAATACATCCATTTTCATACTTTATAAAGCTTTTTGTAATCGTTAACAATCATCTAAATTTAAATTACGTGATAGAATGGTTATTTAAATAAAGTTATTAGGACTAATTTAAATGCTAAAATGAGTGAGAAGTAAACTGCTAAAAAAACAATATTTTAAACTCCAAGTCATCTTATTAAACATATAAAGAAATATAAAACTACAGTATAAAACTAAAAGTAGATTATATTGCTGCTTCGTCATGATTGCATTGTTATTCTACATTGTACAGCTGTTAGTTCACGATTTAAAGTTTTTAACAGTTTTTAGAATTTTAATAATTTCATTAGTTAATCACACTTACCTGATGTGAGCATTGCCACTGCTGAAAATGTTCAAAAGACTATGACGGAAAGTAAATAAATAATAATAAAAAAAAAAATAGGATCCGTTGTGAAATGGTAGCTCAGAGATTATTTAAATTTGCCTTGGCTGATATCGCGGCTATCCAATCGCGGCTATTATGATGATACTTCTACAAATTTTATAAATTGCCATAAAATGTTTTATTACAAATCTTTTGGTACATTATGACTGGAGAATGCAACAATGGAAAAGAGTTATCTAGGCGGAAGGAACTTTATTTCCTTTACATCACGTCGATGGCCAAGTCAAAGCGCGCCATTTTTCCAAGAGAGCAGTTAATCTGTACATGCTCCATGGGCTCTAAACAGGTTGTCAGTTGGAGTATTAATCTTTGCGGACAATTCTATGGACGTCAGTGGAATCAATGGTTGTTGTAAGAATAAACATTACGAATACGGCCTATTTGAACATCATTGCTGATCTGTTACATCTTTTTATGGTGTATTTTCCATCCAAAAATGGACTCATTCTATGGGTCCTAATCATGCAAGGACTTGAGGAGTAAGCCTTCTTGTTGAAGTCTTTGTCTTCGAACTCGTTGGATATGAGATATCATTCAAATCTGGATAATCATGGAGCGGCAGCCGAGTGCTGAAAAGTAACCTTTTTGTAACCTATAGAAATTGCATAATCTCTGCTTATCTTCCTCCGAACCCTTACCATGACCTTTAGAATCTATGCCATGACAATTTACAGTTATTTGTGGATAAAGGTTGAGAAACAGTATTGTTACGAAATGTACAGGCGCGGTAAGATGGCTTCCCCGCAAAGCAGTTTTAGGGTTGTCATAAAATGGCAAGGAAAGGCAGGGCTCCCACATTTGGCGAAAAATAGCCCATTTGGCAACAAAATAGGCGATATACCATGGACATATGGAGAAGCTTCTGGAACGAATTCTTACCGGTTTAGACCAGAATGTTCTCAAACACAAGCCGAAAGTTTTTTTAAACCCTGCTGGTCCGCAGTCAGTTAGTGTGTCTCAGAGAGTGTGCCTCATCTAGCGAGCCGTGCGGAGTCGATCGAGTTGACAGCAGGGCAACGAGTGCCGAGTGGGTCGTCGAGTGCACCGAAGGAGTCTCTTAGTGTATCGCGGTTAGTGCATCATCGAGAGAGGGAGTTGAACTCCGGGAACGACTGAACCGAACAGTCGGGAGCTGCGCTCGTGTGTCTTCGAGTGCATCGCGAGTTGTAGTGTGGAGAGTCTCGAGAGTACGTGGAGTTCCGAGAACGACCAAGCAGAGTCAGGAGCTGTACTCTGGTGTTTTACAGGAAGCAGTCTCCACCGTTATTGCCTGACAGTGTACAGAAGGCTATGTCGCCGATTGTTCCAGCGTGTTTATAGTAGTTCATCGACGACTATAAAACGTGTTTTGGAGCTGCTCTGACAATACTGACTAATAAAATATGTTTCTATACTTCATCAAGTGTCGTCGTTATTCACTCCAAATCTACGAACCCCGTACGAACGTGAAGGAAGGATATAACGTAACAACTGGTGTCAGAGAAGACAAAACTGCAACAGTATATTGGAAATTGGTCATAATGTTTTGGCTAATTAGTGTATATTCAAAGACTATATTGCACAATATCACTAATTTCAGCTGACGGATGATTTTCTTTAAGGATATCCGACAAATGCAATAGCCATCAAAGTCTCCGAGCATGAAACTCATTCAGCATTGAGATACGCATTAAGGATCAAATCGTATCTTATCATTGAAAAATACAACTGAACTGAAAACACCCATCTTTCAGAAGTGTACATTTTTCAATTAAAATGGTGCTTCATTTCAATTGAAGTGTAGTCTGTTTTTCAAGTTTCAATTGCAGTATCAATTTTAACCCTACCGTCTAAATTCAATTCATATTACATTCGAAAACTGTTTATTTTTTCAACACAATATACTCCATTCTCTTAGACATGTGATGACCCCATGCTTAAATTTTAAAACTAATCTGTAACTAAATATAACTTATATTATTTTTTTAGTTTAATAAACACTAGTCAACTAGTGCTTTACAGTGTGAGTACGTTATAATATTCTTTTCGAATTTTTAATTTTTCACTCGCAGAACACAGTTTAAAGACTACTAGTCTAAACCAAGATAAAGAAAGTTAATGATTAAGAACAAGATAAATGAATTTAGTAAGATAAAAATTATATAAATCCTGATGAATTAAAAAATTAAATAATTTTATTAAAAAAGTAAAATATATTTTGCTTTTAGAGTTTTATTCAATACACACGTATTCTTCAGATAAAGAGCTAATTGCCTTGAAATGGTGTTCACCTGTTACACGAAAAGATTATGAGTGAAAGAATTTAAAAAAAAAAAAAGCCCCGGAAAGTGTGGATGTCTTTTTTATCCGATATTTATGTTGGCAACAGTATTTCCTTTGCTGCGACAAACATGTTCATTATGTCGACCGGACGCAAACCTTTTGTTGCATTCAAAAACCGAACATTAACTTTTCGTTGAATCAGCGATGACATTTTGGCTTTTACTTCGAAGAAAAAATAACTTTTTTTGCGATTTTTGGTTAGACGAATTTCTTAGCAAACGTATTAATGTTTTATTTTTGCACACAGTTTAATCAAGCATAAAACATTAAAAATAATTAGAAAAAGACATTGAAAATTTTGAATACTTTAAACAATTTTTCATCATTTAAAAAAGAAATTTCCGTGTTACCTGGTTTATTTGATCCTAAAAGAATCATTTTCTCTGTATCTGTGAAAAGGTTATGAAGAGATGATAATGCTAAGCTCTGCAAAAGATAAAGCAAAACTATTAGTTTTTTAAATTCTGATTAACAGTCATGTAATGATATTATACAGAAAACTTTAAAATTAAAAGAACTCAAACTTTTACAAAAATTGCAACCACTTCTTATGTGAACTTCAATCTCAATGAGGAGAGCGATTTTATTCGTATTGGTAACAAAACAAAAGAGTAAATTTAACCAAATGGCTTGTTATGCGGGAAAAACATCTGAAAGCTTCCAGAGTTTATATTACGCCCAAAGGAGCGTTTAATTTCATTTACACACACATGTACGTTTCGAGAGCATTTGGATTAATGTCACTTTGTTCTAGAAATATTTAAAAACAGCACATCTTACGAATTTCCAATCGATAGTCTCGCTCTCTGGAGATAAAAATGTTTTATTCCGTACAGTGTTGCCATTTCTCGCTTTGAAATCGCTGAGTTTGTTAATCAAAAATTCGCTGAAGCTTTACAAAACATAAAATAGACAATAAACAAATTCCAATTCGATCATCCAGGCGCCTTATTCAAATTTTTATGTCTCTATGTACCGTTGTTTTTTCACAGTGCGAGAAACATACTACATACATTCCTGCAGATTCTTCGTTATTTAATTTCTTTTAAATATAATACAGGGCGATAATATTTGGTGGCAAAAATTTGAAAAGTGAAATTGCAATTTTCGTGAAACGACACAAAATGCAGTTTCCAAACTAACAGCCTTTCTAGGTTAACGCCCCTTTGGCCTTAAAAAAAAGAAAATACCGTCGAAAGAGGAGAAAGCTTGCTGTATGGGAAAACTCCAATTCTTTGGAAAAGCAGTTTGCCATTCAAAATCTCAAAACATCAAAAAATATATTAATAAAAGCTAAAATACGTAAAATATCACAAAACTCTAAAAATGACAATGATTCTATAGCAGATATGTAACATATATCTGCTATAGAATCATCATCGTTAGAAACACCTTTTATAAATTACAAAGACCTTCTCGATCTGTAGGAAAAGGACGCATTGTGCAGCTAGTGAAATCACCAGACCTAAATCCTACATAGCATTTTTTGGTATGCTTAAAACGAGCCATAGACGACACGCTCTCAGAAGCTCCCAGGAATTATACTTTACTCGTTTTAGAAGAAGGGGACTTGTTGCTGTAAGTTAAGATCAAGAATCTAATTTACAAACTGAGATCCCTTCATGGGACATGTAAAGCTGTGCAATGTGCCTTTTTTACTTCCTTGTACGAAGTAAAGGAAGTATAGTAATCGCGAAAAGTTTCAGGCAGCATATTTCAACGAAAATATCCATTTTGACCGCGAGTAGCCTCAGAACGTTGAAATTTTGTATATAGGACTACTATATCACGTAGATGTGCACCTCGTATTTTGGTTGCAATGCGTCCCGCCAAACGTATATAAATATATTTAAATATATATCCACTCTGTTACCCGGCTCAGTGATCTCAGTTTCTTTACTCTTATATGTTTGTAAATTGTACATTTTTTGCTTTAAAAATGATTAAATTATGATGTTTTTATCTTCCGGTTAAGGTTTTTATGCCTTTAGTAAATCTGTGTGCAATATTTTTAGAATTATCAACAATTTTAAAGTTGTTTAAGTGCAGCTAAGGATTTTCTTTTGACGGCGGCCATTGATTGTTTACATTTGAAACAGCAGACTAGTGGGTTTTTTGCCCATCTAGAGAAACGTAGTTTCGATAGTTGAACAAAGTTCAAAAAGTTTCGTAGTTCAACAAAGATAACGCCTTCATTTATTATTGCGAATTCAATCATGCTTAATCCTTTCTGGAATTTTTTCGAGGAAATAAGTGTTTAGGATTTACTTCGTAATTTTTAATATAGATTTTTTGAGTTTTTATGTATTTTTGCCTTGTCGCGAAGTGAGAACTGATTTAATTGAATGAAAAATACTCAATCGTCTGTGAAAAAGTGTTTCTTTTGTGTTTTGTTTGCTTAATTTCTTTTATACATCGTTCTAGCTTTAATATAGTATTTGGATAGAATATGTGCAAAGATTAGATAATTCTTTAAATGGTATAAATTTTGTGCATTCTGAGTTATAATATAAACGAAATGTAATACTGTTAAGTGAACCTAGCGCCAGAGTGTCGCTATGGTAAACAAATAGAGTGAATTTTAAAGAATGCATTTATTCTATTGTGTTTTATGCGCTATCGGCGAAGTAGATTTAATTCAATCCAATAAGTTTAAACGAAATGCATGAAAAAATAAGTATAATTTAATATTCCTTACAAGGAAGTCATGTGGTGTACACATCAGATTTTTAATTAATAGCTTGGCTCTTCTGCAAATATGCGGCTCCATGCCTTGGTCGCTTTAGTTTCCATCTGCGTGTAGCAAAAGCATTTTAACCATTGTTTATTTTGTTATGCAACTACTTGCTGTCTCACAGTATTAAGCATCCGTATATGAAATGTGTACGAATAAATCCGTGTACGAATAAATCCGTGTACGAATATGTACAGAAGATATTCGTACATTTTTAAGATTTTCGTTTTAATTACAGCAATATTTTACTTAAAACGTTTGTGTTTTCAGTGTTCCATTTTGATAACCATTATTCTTAAATATCTTTATAAATTCTAAAATCCCATCTTATCGAAATTGAAACTATTGTTAATACACATGCCGTAATATCTATAAATAGTCTCATTTTTGATAGATAATTACCAAAGACAAGGCATGGCAACTATGAATAGGAAGTGGCGAAAAAACGTGCGTCATAATCATTGACTTCAATGTGCTTGTTTTATACTCATCGTCGTCATGAAGGAAAAAAATGAATGATTATTTTTTGCTGCAGTTATCTAATTGCATTTTTCTAGTTGGTATTCCAATGCTTCTATCTATATGCCATAAGTTAAAAATGCACGTTTTTTGAGAGAAATATACGTTACAATTATTACTTAAAAAGCCCTAGCTAGATTGCTTTTATGCTTTTAAAACTTTTCACTTTTAAATGTTGGAATCTGCATTCCAACATTTAAAAGTTGTGATTCATTAGGAGCGATGTCACCGATTCATATGCTTGTGGAAGTAAAAATATTTATCATTCTTGCTCAATAATGGCGTGTTAGTAACACTGCAAAAAAAGCCTTCCTCGGTTTCTGACTGCAGGAGATTTCGTAGTTTGTATCCCTGTATAACACTGACAGTATTCCCTTTAAAACAAATTGACGGTAGGCTTTCTCTTTAAGGAGCCGCTGATGTTTAATGCGAAGGATTACAAACGGAAGTGGGAAGATGTTATAGAACTAATGAAATAAAAATGATTTTACAATCATATGTATTTCCTTATATTTTATATCACATTTATTATTATTATTTTTGTTAAATTTATAATTATTTTATTGCATTTATTATATTATTTATTCTAATTATTCTTAAATGACCTAGGTCATTTTAGAATGATTATAATAAATAATATAATAAATGCAAAATCTTAAATTGGTCGATGATATGAGAAATTAGATACACAGTTTAATACATCTGCAGTTATACTCCAGTAAATGTTAAATTTATAAATAACTTATCAATTGTACTTGGATATTTTCTTGATATCATATTGGGATTAGAATGATATTTTCTAAAATCAAATGCGTTTTCATTTCGTATAAAATACAGCAGACACCACCCGAAGACACTGACTGTCTACCAGAGGACCTTGCCACTCACACGAGGTTGCGCATGCGCAAGGAACTTCGACGTCACCAAAATTTCGCTATTTTTGACGCGTTACTATGCATATATACCCTTTATTCAAATTAAAAAAAAATTGTGTATGTGTGCTAATGTGCTGTTTCATTCTGCCTCATGTGTTTAGATTAGTTGTAACATTTGTAATTTCGAAGATACTTGTATAAGCATTCCCGCACACTTCAAATATCGTCTTGAGTTTTGCCTTCCCATCAGACCATTATAGAGGAACGTAACCCTACATTAAAAGTCTTCCATGAAGTCTGATAGGCATTGAAGTATCTGGTATGTAAATATAAGAAAATAACACTTCTCTGACTCCAATAGAACCAATATTTTATTCCTTACGAAGTTATAGATTCCTATTCATGAAATTTATTTACATTTTACATGCACGTCGAATCGAGTGACAGAAAACCGAACTTTGTTTTCTTCGTTCTTCGCGGAGACTAGAAAGTGTTGCCATTCCGTTTTAACTAAATTTAATTAGAAACTTGGCGGAACTGAAGCGACACTCCAGACATCTTATCCTGTGTTTTAATTAGCCAAACAGTCATTCTTCATTTGTAAAACCAGACTAAACACAACGCAATTTTAAGTCAGATTTCGTTAGATATTCTGTTAATATCTGAAAAATTCCATTACAATTTCCCCATTCCCCCCGACTTTCCATGTTTTAAATGCTGTTCCATTCAAATATATTTTTAAGGACATTTTCAAAGAGCAATACTTTAGGAAATCGAATGTTGCATAAGTTTTTTTTTTTCCAAATAATCTGCTTCTATTTTGTTTAATAAGAATTTCATTATTATTCTATTGCTATTAACAAGACTCCATCTTTCCCATGAACACCTAACAGTTTCGTAAAGTATTTGATAACATGTGTTATTAAAGCAGGGAGTAATGTTTCAAAACAAAGCACAACCAGCCAAGGGTCAACAAATCTGATGACATCACGGCTTCAAAAGCTGACAAAAATCCCTCTCAGCATAAATCCTTAACGTGATCCAAGGTCTTCAACTTTTGTTCCGTCTGCTTGAGCCAGAACATTATATTTTTATTAATTCATTTCTTTTCCTTCTTGAATGATCAACCAAGAGTTGCTTCCGTAATAACAATTATTGTCTGCAACTGAGGGCGCGGCTGTTTTCGACGTTATGAGTACAGTTAACACTTCTTATATCAAATTTCCCTGTTGGGAAAAAAAGATCGGTGCAGGTTTCTTTTCAAAAAAGAACTTGTATGCTTGGTTTCCTGTAATAAA